TGGGTAGGCTACACATTTGTAAAGAACCTGGCTGTTGTATTCAAGTATGTTAAATGAAGGGGAAAACGTGTAATGGTAAAAGAGACACAAGTAACAGCTATAATCAAAGGCTTCAGAGGGTAAAGCAGCAAAGCCTACTCAGGAGCTTTGGGGAAGTTCATAAGGCATGAACTACAGCTGCATGCATCACACCTGTATACTTCCAGACTTTTGATATATATTTTTTGCTTTTCTCCAGCCATATCCCATGTATCCAGCCACCACCTCCCTTGTGAATGTGGTTCCTAAACTAAGTAGTACAGGAAGGGATCTACTGCAGGTACCTCAAACATTTTAGTTGTTTTGTTATGCAGTTTGAAGATGTTGCTTTGTATTAATTGTGCTACGTGTTCAGTTACAGCAGCAAACTTATGCAAAGCTGTTGCTGATTTACATTTTTGCTCACATGAATCGGTGTCGTTTTTTTTCCACTCATTAAAAATGTTTTTTTTTTTTTTCCACCCGATCCAGAACCTGTTGAAGTGTAATCCCGTTCAGAGGATTTCAGCTGAAGAGGCCTTGCAGCACCCCTACTTCGCCGATTTCTGCCCGCCCTAAAATGCTAAATTGCCTGTCACCGAGCCACAGCCGCAAGAATCAATCATCCTTCACTCTGTTTGGTCATTAGGAGCGATTCTCAACAAGGCAAATCCCTCACTGGGATTCTGACACTCCCATGCAGTTCATTCTGTTGTGCCTCTGTGTGGAACAAAGCCCCAGTGGCTCTGCTAAGCTTTAGGGTCTTTTAAGTTAAAAGCCTGTTTTAATTTGGTTCAAACATCACTCCAAGTTAATTGGCACCAATGAGGGCGGGGTTACATTTAATACACTTTATAGTCACAAGTTTTCTTTTTTGCCTATTTTAGTTAAATTAGTAAAGCAACAAACTGTTTTCTATCGGCTTTCTTTAGTGTTCCGTCGTAATCTGTGGTCATATAATTTGGTGAGTTAATGTCAGATGCCTGCCAAAGTGCTTGTACTTAGTGCATCAGTCACTCACACGCCTTTGTTGAGATGTAGTTTCTATTCCTGATGGATTGTGTTTCAGTAGTTTTTTGTTTTTTTTTCTGCTTATACAAGTCTTAACACCTGTAGAGACCAGTGTAAGTGTTGGTAATTCCATGCCTGATATATTTATATTTGCAGGTGAAAGTACGGCTGAAAGCAAGTCAGCTTTGAACAACTTGTTTAGGAGCTTTTATGATTGATATGTATACAGTTCCAGTCAGAGGTTTCTATATGCTTATCATCTGTAATATGGTAATTTGAGGTTGTTAATAAATTATTTAAATTGCTATTTTCTAGGATGGATTGCTTATGCAATATACAGCTTCAGTATTTTTTTTATTTTTTCCACAAAAGCGATTAAGGGTAGAAGTAAAAAAAAAAATTCATGGATTTAATATCTTATAACAGATTAAAAAAATTACAGGTTCAAATCCCATAGTCTTGTAGTAAATTACACCAGGACCATTATATTTCTGTTTTCCTGAGGAAGTTTCTGGCATAAACCTGGCTGGATATTTGATCACTCATCCTGGCAGGATGTTGTTAATTTAAGTTGCTTGGTCTCCTGGCACACGCTCAGCTTTTCAGTATAATTGCATAGTTTAGGTCAGGCCTTTTTAAGTCAGCTTTATCCAAGCCAAAATCCAGTTTTGATGTTTGCTTGAATTGCTGTCCTGTGGGAACAGTTTTAACCAGCTAGCTGTTGGGTTGAGGTGGAATTGAAAAACACAGGTCTCCAGCATTATTCCATCCTCTCTGCAGCATAAATCCCTACAGCGCAGACCATGTTCTTAGATTCTAACCCCCCCCACATCCAACACACTTCTTCCTTTTGAGGTCAAAGTTTTCCCATCTTTGCCTTGTCTGGCCATGAAACGTTTCACCTGTTGGTATTATGTCAACTCTAAGGTGTCTGTGGGGGTTGCAACTTGCTTCACTCAGGACTGTAACAATGCAGTTCAAGTAGTTTCTACTGATGAATTTGATTATTGCCCATGATGAGTGTATATAAACTTGTGAACAAAACTGTAGCACTATATTTAAGTTATTTCGCACTTTGTTAATGCCTTATTAGTGTTCTTGCAAAGCTGTTGCTGTTCCACTTTGGTAATTTAGAGGCAGCTCAGTGAAGCATCAATGTGTGCTTGCATACAAGCAGCTTATCTTGCATCAATCGGCAGCATGACGGCAGCCTTGTTGATTAGATTTGTCTGCTTCATGCACTGTCCCCACTTTACATTTCCATTCCAGTCCCCCTCTCTATTGATGCTAATGTCCATTAGGGTGCAGGGAAGGTATAATTTATTCAGATTGGCTGTAACATTTTTGAGATTGTAACGGCTTTAAAAGGCCACTTTTGGTTTGGCTACCTTTTTAGACGAGCCGTTACCTTCAGCCCCAGTGGCCAATTGGTCCATATTAACTCTAAATAAAGAACCTAAGAGAGTTATCTGCCTTCAAACGTTTGACAGATTCTGTATGCTATTTTAATAGGTCTGCCTGGAGGAGCTTATCAATATACATGCACCATAACGCTAATGGAACCACATGCCTTATCAGATAGGCAGGTGCCACATGCGACTAATATCTACATTAAAAGCCAACTTATTTTTTATTTTTTTGTTAAAATCCGGTAATTGGTGTTCATTCGGTTTATATCTGTGGTCTTTAAGGTATTTTGGTGCATAGATATGTGTTGATTTGAATACTTTATATTCTCCCTGTTAAATTTTGCTGTTGGTAATGACGACACCCTCCCGACCCCCCTTGTGCAAATGCTTCCCCCTTTTGACAGTTTTACTTTTTTTTTAATCAGACTTCGAGGAAGTAAGGATTTCATTAAGTACTTATCACAGGGAAGCAGCAAGCTTCCTTCTCAGAACTGCTACAGTAAATTGTAGGATTTAATTACATTTTTCTGAGTATAAACTTGTTCTTTTCTCTCGAGGCTAAACTAGCTGCAGATGTTGTTGTCCCCAGCTGTCGCTGCTACCAAATAAACAATTTTCCAAGAAATATCACACAGAAGGATGAAAAGACCGCAAGTTATTTTTACTCTGAGGACTTCACACTTTTACCGTTTCTTATACTTTAAATGCTGATTCAGAAGTGTTTGTTCCACTGACCATTGTAGATTAGTATGAAAAGCAACTTTATTAATATACGTTTTTATTCTCAGGCTTTTTATTTCCATCTTTGTATTTATTTTTGTGCACTTTGTCACAATAGTTTTGAAGATTACACGTTAAACACAGACATTCAGAATAATACAGAAAATAAGTAGACCAATATTTACATGATCATTTGTGAAACATTTTACTATTTTGACACCGTTTATCTCTGCAATGCTTTTTTTTTATGGTTTTCTACTAGTTTAAAGAGAAAACGCATCTAATTCTGTAAACTGTTTTGCACCATGAGCTTTTTCTGTTTAGTAATTGCCATATTAACATATTAGCTGTTTTATTCCACTCCAGATCATTACAGTGATACTTTTGCTATTAAAAGCCAACAGATTGAGTGGTATCTAAGGCAACTGTGTCACTGTGGGAAATATTTTTCCTTCATTTGAATTATGTAAAATAGTTAATGGGTGCATGTATTTATTAAACAAGGAATGTCTGTTTTCTTTTACTTAAAAATGTAGCAAAACCTTTAGTTGGTACAGAATTGTATTCTCAGTAGTTGCGTAGATATGTTGGATTTTAGTGACATTTTAAGCATTTAAAATGTTTGAAGGATGTGTGCTTTTGACTTAAATTATAAAGAAAAAAACAAAACCAACTTCTTTTCTTGCTTCTTTGTTTTGTGGATTACAGCAGCAATAAGAAGCTTTATTTGAATGAAGAATGGGTTTTGCACTTTGGCTTCTGTATTTGAATTCATTAGAACTTTGGACAAACATTGTGACTTTGTTAAGGCCATTAAGAATCCATATTTGGCTAAGTAAAAAGGATAAACCTTGTGGGATAAAAAAACTGATGTCAACCTGATTTATTTTAGATAAATACATGTGAAAATTACAAATTAAATCAAACTTCAACGTTTTTTGTTTTTTTTTTTGTCATTTTTTTTATCCATAATATCCATAATTACACAACAAATATTAAAGATTCTTGGCACCTTAAAGATCATTTTGACCAGGTATCAATGACATATTGTGCTACATATTTTAAATGTCATAGATACATTTTTGATTCTACCTAAACAGTTTTAGCTTTTTGTGCTTGCAAAACCTTTATTCTTTAACTAATTTTTTTTTTTTTTTTTTGGCTCTAGTAGCCTTTATTTGATAGTTAATTGACAGGAAAGTGGGTAATGAGAGAAGGGGGAAGACATGCAGCAAAGGTCGCCAAGACCTAGAATTGAACCTGCGACAGCTGTGTCAAGAACTAAGACCTCCATCCATATATGGGTTGTGCTTAACTCCTGCACCACCATAACACACCCCAATGATAGTCTTTGATTTTATGTTTTATACAACATAACCTATAAAGTTGCAAATACTGTAAAGTGACATTCATAGCTTACCAAATGGCACTGAATCTATATCTGATTCAGATATGGGAGATAACGGCTGAATATTCTGTCTTTGCAAAGTATACCATAACAATTTAAATGTTTTTCTTTAAATCATTTATCATTTTCATATGGGATTAACCTTAACAACTTGAAGGTCTGTGCTAACAGCTCTCTTGCGTGGTCCAGTTTTTCTAATGTGGAGAAACTTCGACTGTTGATCGCAATCTCATTTTCAGAAATAGACTTGTGCAGGAATTTTAAATATACAAATTTAGACATTTCTTGTCCCCTCCTCCCCAACAAATGGTGTATCCACATTTGTTTTTCTTCTACATGTCGAATACCCGATGTGTCAAAACAGATATAAAATGTCGGTCAACATCTTTTAAAAAGGGGAAACGTTTTAATTTATGGGCAACCACATAGTCAAGTGTGTAATAACTATTTAATGTACAGAGTTAAAATCACATATCTACAGTAAAATACACATAGCGCATGTAGAGCCAGATGAAACAACTCCGGGTCTCCAGATATTTGTGGATGCGTGTGTCGGGTAGGGTAAAATGATATTACCTGTAAGAATCTGTCTTAAAGGCACACCTTAGCTTCAGTTTAAGCTGCAATATATTTAAACAACCTTTGTTAAATAACTGAGGTTTGTGTGTGTTATTGTCAAATACATTTCATAAAGATGTGGAGAAAACCCTTTTTGATTCATCTGACTCCAGAAATACACCTTGAACAATACAAAGTGAACAGCATAGCTATCATTACATTGATAGATCTGATATATTGGGAATACATAATGATCATGCAAGGAGAAAATGTGTGATTCGCTGTAAAATATTAGCATAAAATAGTTGTTTGTGTAGAATACTTGTATTTTGACTATAGCTATGCAGTAAATATCAACTTCATGAAGTTCATTGATGATTTCTGCCAGCTCAGGTACACTCTGCTGTTCTTTTACATGTAATAAGGCAGGGGTTGGGGTTAGAGGTAAAGACCTGGGACATTCCAACAAAGCCCTCATCTAGGATCTCCAGAGTATGCAGAAAAGTTGAGTCAGTTTTTTTTATTTATTTATTATTTTTTGTTTTTCCCAGTAACTCGACTCCCACCCAAATCCATCAGAGCAATGCAGCATCATCAGAGCAGCATCATAGTGTAACAAGAATTGGCACCTCTGTGTTAAATGTTTGGATGGTGATGGTTTTAATACAATGGCCACCTTCATACCTTTGTGTTACAATTGGAAGATTTCTATTTTACATCCACTCCTGCTGCTCAATGCAGATTAATGTCATTAATTTAGAATGTAACTGATAAATTAATTTCAGTAATTCTGTATCGTATATAAAATTAATAGCCACTGTAATATATTTAAACATTTACCTTTGACTTTAAAGATTGACTTTCAGCTAATAAAAATACAAAACAATGTTTTTGTTGTTGTAAAATTAGGACATAAGACCAATAAAAAATATTTAATACAGAAAAGTTAGCCCACTGAAAAGCATGTCCATGTACTGTATTTTATACTCGGTCAGGTCTTCTTTTGCTTGCATTACTGCTTCAATGCATCGTGGCACTGAGTTACCGTTGCTCTACTGATGTGTTAAGGAATGCAGACCATTTTCATATTGACCTTCAAATTGTCTGTTGGGTTAAGTTTGGTAAATTGTCTTTCTCTTCTTTCCTGTAATCTTTATTCTCTGTGGGGCTTAGGGCAATCCAGATTGATGATGAATCAAGTATCGTGATAACCTGATCACTGAACAGGTATTGGTAAATAAAGTAGTGTGGGATGGAGCCAAGTCTAGAGGGTAGAGTTTTTAAGCACACAGACTCAAAGTACTATAAAATGTATTGGTAGTTGGCTGTGCTGATTTTGAACTTATGAAACAGGCAGTGAACCAACACTAGTACGTGACATGACTCCCCAAATTATCTCTGACTATCATAACTTCAAATTAAATGTCAGGCAACTTGGATTCTGTGCTTTATCTTCCAGACTCTGGGAGCTCGATTGCTAAATGTAATGCAAAATATATTTCCAACTAAAAAGAGCACTTTGGACCATTGGGTAACATTCAGGTCCTTTTTTTAAGCTCAAGTACGATGCTTTAGACATTGTCTCTGGTTCAGCAATGTCCGAACAATTTGTTTTATAATCTCAAGCCTATTAACGCTGTTGTTTGTGCACCTATTTCTCACAAAACATTTCCTTTCATTGAACTTTCCAATATAAATCTCAGGTACGAGACTATGTGAATAACTAGCTTTTTCAGCAATTATATTTTTTGATTGTGTAGATAATGATATATCATTTTCATAATAAACATTTTTTTATTAGACTTATGTAAATAATACTGGATTTTTAGTGATTGTAGACCAGAATTATAAAAAGAAATGTGTCATTATCATCAATGACTGCTAGAAATATGTTTCCTTTCTGGATGGAATTACTGAAATAAATTCACCAAAAATATTCTAATTTAATGACATTTACCTATATTCATGTAGCTCGAATCCCTCTCCTTTTTTTTTTTTTTTACACCATTCTCATAACAACCACATCTCCCCCTTTATTGCTTTTACTGCAACTCCATTTATCTTCTTTTTTTTTTTTTTGTCCTGAAAATGTAAAATCTCTTAAAAAGTCTGCTCCGTTCCTGTTCCTGTTGTCAGAGCCAAGGGCACATCATATTTAACAGTGTGTGTCATTTTAAATTGGAGCCACACAAGGCTGTCAGGATCACAGACATCCCATCGTTGGCTTTCAAGCGATGGCTAATTTCCAAGGGTTTGTGCTTCACATCAACAGTCATCTAATACACAAACTACAAAGTAATAAACCTACAGCTGTTTGAACACCATAAAATGAAACTGTTACATCTAAAACCTTTCACGTGAAAGAAAGAGAATGGTGGGTTTGAGACTTTTTGTTCAGTACCTACAGGTCCGATATTTGAGAGACAAGGACTTAAATAACAGTGAAACAGAGGAAGAAGCCTGACACCAAGATAAGAAAAGTTATGTACTTAAGCATGGATGGGTAAATATAGTTTATTATACTAGATCATTTATACATCACAAACTGTTATTTGTGACTTATTACATTTTCTGGGATAATAATGTTTGTATACAGTGGTCAATTTGTACAATGTAGCTCTTTATTATAAATCAACCAAACTGAGTAGTGCTGCGAAGCATGGTTATGATGCTTTGAGGCGAATTATTTAATAAGTCGGCGTGTAATCCCCAAAAAGAGACGCAGAAATTCAAATCCTATTAATGGATAAAGAAAGAAGAAGATCTATGTGTGTTTATCAGTTTATAAATATTCATATGCAATGGTTTACATAAGTATCTGTGACTTTTTTTTTTTTGTAGCATTTGACTGCAGGTATTTACAAGTTTCTATCAAGTTTAGGAATGTCACCAGTCTTTTTAAACTCTTCTTAGTGTATACATTACTATCACCTGGGATTGTGCTGCTGAGTACCTTTAAGACACTATGATGGAAGAACAGGTTAAATAAGAAGGGCAGCAGCAAGCCAAACGGTTTTTTTTCAAATCTAATTAATTTTTCATTTTTTGAAATCTCCCCCCCCCCCCACCCAGAGATGAAAGTGGTCTATGTAAATTTCATCACCTCACCAAAGTAATATTTTCACGTCAGCTGATACGGCTAGGAGAGACCCAGCTCTACCTCCCAGAATTAAGTGTTTCTTTATCACCTATTGAAACTTCATTTTGGTAAATATATGTAAAGCCTTTGTTTTCAAATTTCAGTTAAGTAAAAGTTTAGAATACATCCCCCTTCCACTATTTTTGCATTCAGTTGTGGTATCATCTGGCATCATTCTTGTTCATTCACAGTGAAAGTTGTCAATTTTGTTGTCCCTGTTGCCATTTTATTTTCTCTTATTTTTCCATTACAGTGCTAGTTTTGGTAGGTTTTCAGACAAATATGGCAGCAGACAAAATATTACAGTGCTTCATCCCACTTTTTCCACATATTTTTACACTAGAGTCTGAAACTTCAGGGTTACTTCATTGTGATTTTAAATGATAGACAAAATTAGTCCATAAGTTTTAGGTGAAAGTAAAAGATGCATTGTTTTTAAATGTGTCTACATTCAAAAATTATTTAATCTGAAGAATGGGTCTTGGTTTTGTATTTAGCCACCCTGAGTCAATACTGCAACTACAGCTGCAGGTCTTTAAGGGTTTGTCCATCTTGACATTAAAAATGTCTTCCTATTCTTCTTTGTAGAACAACTGAAACTCTGACTTAATAGGGTAAATATACATCTTTACATTTTCTTTACAATTATCCCATTTTATCTCTTTCAATTTCTTCATCTGAGATTCTTTATACGATATTCTTCATCTTCTATTCATCTGATATTGTGTCTGATGTTACAGCACCCAAATGTCAAAAAATATTTAGCCTTTTCACCTCTAGATATGAACATTGTGCTGGTCTATCACATATAATCCCAATAAAATACAATTAAGTTTTAAAGCTATCAAATGTTGTAAAGATTAATAAATTGTGCAAGGCATTACAAATTAGTGATAAAACTTGAAAGTAGAAATTCGTAATGTGTTCAACAACTTCCTATGTGATTTGGCAAATAAAGTATTTTCATTCAAACTTCAAATCCTATCTTACTCTTATTCTGAATTTCAGTGCCAAAATTGAACTTTGTATTTGTTGGATTGATTTACATTCATCTGTGATCAGAACATTTCGTTTATAGTGAAGAAAGGAAACTCACCCTAGAAATTATGGCAGGCCACTGTAACATCTAATCAAACCTCTCCTATGCTCCGAATAGTTTTTCAGCTTTCAAACATGGAATTTGAAAGAGTCTTTTTTAAAGCTGTTTGTACAAAATGTACAGGGCTATTTAAAACCCTCCATCACAATATTGCATATCTGCATTATGTTTCACTGGTGCATGACGATATGTGACTTTGAGAAAACAAAAGTTGCATTATCACCTTTTTACCTGTCTGGCACTGCAGCAATAGTAACTTGATCTCTAGCCAAGCCAGGCAGCCACTGCCTTTTTTTAGTGATGTCATATATTTTTCTTGGATGACTGTCACAATTCAGAGAAGCAATATATTTGGCACATATTCTGTACTGCTACAAAATGTATGTAAATGCTACACAAATGTCATTGCGATGATTCAATATTAGCACTTTTTTTTCTAGTGCTATGCTTTCCAATTTGTCTGTACTGATGAAGATTCACTCACATCTGCATGCCGAAAGCTTTGAAAGGCTGCTACAGCAGGTTAGCCCGACCTAATTTTAAAATTAGCTAAGGCAAAATATGATTTGAACATTTGAGGACACTCAGACTGTGTGTAGGACATGGAAATTTCAGTCCAAGATGTTCATATAGAAAAGGAAAACAATAATTTGATCCAAATACCAATGCAGTATAAGTAAATATTAGAACCACATGTTGCTTAGTGTCAGAACAATTTTCTGACTCACAATTAAAAACTGAAACATAACTTATTAGGTCATGTGTTCTGGTAGGACTTCTGTTTCAGAGGAAAGATATGAAAAGGAGTAAATAAGTTTGGCAAATGAAAAATTTGGTGCGTGAGTCAGACAAAGAATGATATTTTAGGTATCGGACATGATGACTGTGAAAAAAATGGCATTTTGCACTGCTGAAATGTCCTTGTTGACTAGGATGAATTAAATTACAGATATGTGCTTTTAAGATTCTGTGATCAAACATATTATCATATACATGTTATTTGAACTGATAAGTGGCTAGCATCCATTTATCCATGTAAAACCAAAATGGGGGGAAAAAAGCAACAAAAACTCCCAAAACAAATCCAAAATAAATGTAATATATCGTAAGCAAATCAAATACAATCAAATGCCTTTTTCATCACCAAAAATAACAAAATGACTAAATCAAATTTCAGTTCAATATGTCGCATAGCAATTGTAAAATAATACATAATGCTTTAGCAAATATACAAATATTGAAGTTCCTGCTCTTTTGCAAAGTCAAGTAAGCACAGTTGTCTAATTAGAGACATTTCATAGTCTCAATGTAGCGAAAGGCAACATTAGTCATGTATTCTCATTCAGGTCTGAGAAGCTTTTTCAACCAACTGTTACCTCTTAAAAGTATGTGGTTATTCAATGCAACTCTGGTTTAAGTGGTGGGAGATATAGTACTGAAAACAATGAACACTTTTGCACATACCAGTTGTTTTCTTCATTGATACACAGCAAAACTGACATGATGCTGTTACAAAACTCAACATAGATTGTAGACCCATTTTTAGACAGATTTGTCTGTGCGGATTGTTTGATTTAAAGTGACAGTTCAACAAAACCAAAGGTACAAAATGAAACGTGGATACAATGAACATTGATGCCCTTCACATGGGTGTTAAACCTGAGTTCTGTTTTGGAAGTGGTCTCTTTTTGTGTGTGTTGATGATGATATTGTATTTCTGTCATACTGCTTTTGAGCATACACTTAATGCTTATCTGTTGAATGCACAAATTATTTCACAGTTTGCCGTCAAGTCTCGAAATGTGCCCCCAGCCCCTGCGTTGCTTCATCAACAAGCAAATTCCTCAAAGTTGCCTAAAGTCGGGTGACGAGGTAACATGTTCGGCGTGAATCCGAGACTGTCCGAGTGACTCCGGAGGGTGTCACATGTGCTCTGCAGGAAAAAAAAAAACAGAGTGGGGAGGGGGAAGCAGGGAAGATGAGTTCAACCGGGTTAAGGGAGGAAGAGATGGCGAAGAAGGAGGAAACCAATAAGTTGATAAACAGATAAAATCGAAGTGAAAGTTGGACATAAGAAACAAAGAGAACAAAAAAAAATCAAATGTGGTGAGGGGAAATTAATCAAAACCAGAAAAAAAAAAAAATATAGACCAGATGATTATCATTGAGACAGACACAAGGGCAGGATATTTCATTGAAGATGATAAATGACATAAACATATGCAGGGAAAGAGAAAGTAACGAGTTTGGATTTGGAGATGTTACATATGTAAAGGGGTGGTGGTGGTGGTGGGGTGAAACGAACGAAAGCAGGGAGAGGAGAAAGAAAACAACATATTTTTAGTCGTGTTTTTGCACTAACAAGTACAACTCTAAAGCTCTAGGAATTTGACACAACAACATACTGTATGTCTGCATTTCCCTGAGTACAGAAGAACAAATCCTTTAGGTAAATGCAGATACAAGTCCTCTCCATGAATCAGAATATCTTAAAAAAAGGTTTATTTCAATAATTCAAAAAAAACAAAACAAAACTAATCTATTATACATATTCATCACACATAGTAATATATTTTTAGCACTTAATTCTAATAATTTAGATGATTATGATTTATAGCTAAAGGAAACCTTAATTTCATTTTTTTTATTTCAATATTTCATAAGACCAAATTAAAGAAAAAAAAAGATATTAAATTCTTAAACATCTACTGAAAAGTATGTCCATGTATTTGTACAGTAAAAGTGCTTAAGACTTATCCATGGCTCTATTTTCAGTAATTACCACATTGGTGTTGAATGTGATCAGCATGCGGCTCTGCTGACATGTTAAGGAAGTCCATGTTGCTTTGATAATGGCCTTTAGCTGCACATTCAGCCTCGACTCTGGTTGTCTCTAAGCTTCATCTTGATAATAATCCATAAATGTTTTATGGGGCTTAGATCAGGTGAGTTTGCTGATTTGCATTTTTTTTTTCTAAATGAAATGCAAAATTGACTTTTAACTGAAATGGTGTCTGGACCACTGATCCAGAGTCCACTTTTTCACACCCTGAGCCCAAACAAGACACTTCTGATGTTCTCTAGTTCAGGAATAGCAAAACACAGCGGTAGGACATGTCCTGGATGCGTTTACATGTGGTTGCTATGACTACACCGACTAAAGCTGCAGATCATGCCTTGTGGAGCTCTTCCTAATTATTGCTTCACAATATGAAATTTGTAGCTCATCCTCTTAGAGTGGTGTGTCAATGACCATCTGGACATTTGTCGGGAGACGACTGTAATTCTGAAAGATATATGTCATTTAATCCTGAAATGTCATAGCATTTCAGGATTAAATGTCCTTTTTACTGATCGTATTTAAAATTCTAATACTCTATAAAGAAAATACAGGGTTTGGGGTTTTTATTAGCTGCTAACCGTAATCATCACAAAGAGTAACACGCACTTGAAATATATCACTTTGTGTCCAGTGAATCTGTATATTACATCCCTTTTTGAATGAGTCAAAGGCTTTGAATTGTCGTTATTGTGTATTACTCTGAAAAATATTATTCCAGCAACCACCCTCTTGTAAATCAGGCAAACTCATTGCATGCAGGCCTGAGATAACGTCACAATGTGATGATCTAGTGATGTTATCTGGCACAAGCCGGAAATGCATTGCAGCTGAATGGACCTCTGCACTGCAGGCAGACAAATGGGTCTCAAGTGGCCCGATGTTTTGCACAACCGAGTAAATATGTGTTTTATTTTCACGTGAGTGCTGTACTTTAACTTATGTGGGGAAAGCATCATTATTCAGTGGAGGGAGCAGGTTTTGTACTGTGCAGAGAGTAAATTTTAGAGGCACTTGGAGAATCCAACCAACTCTGTCTCTCTTTGTGAGCCTAAAAACACAGACACTCTTCATGACCGACCTGTCCTGGCGTAGGAAAATATATCAAAAAGCTCACCGGAGCTGGTTAATCACGCCTCTCTTTGTGACTGCCAAATAATTATTTAATAACCACTGATGCATGGCATGAATCTCAGGTATGAATGAAAGAGAGGGACAGCATGGGAGGGAGCATCTGTTATTAATGGGGTGTGCTACCTGGGGGCATGATTAGGCGTGACACCAGGGCTGGTTGGGTTCTCTGGAAACTCCTGGAATAGACATGATGAAAAGAAAGATGGGTGAGGGTGATATAAATGAAAATAAATAAATAAAAAAAACAATGTAAATGTTATAAGGTAAACTTTGAGGAGAAACTGCATTACAGGGTCTCCACAAACTAAATTTAAAGCTTTTTTTTTTTCTTTTTAATGAACGACTGACTACTAACATCCAGATGTGCTGATGATCAATGGGGGTAATGAGAATTCAGAATAAAACATCCATCCATCCATCCATCCATCCATCTATCCATCCATACACCCATCCGGGGAAGGGTCACAGTCTAAGCAGGGAAGCCCAGACTCCAGCCACCTGGGCCAACTCCTCAAGGGGAATCCCAAGGTGTTCCCAGGCCAGCTGGAAAACAGTCTCTCCAGCATGTCCTGGGTTTTCCTCTGGGTCTCCTGTTGGTGGGACGCGCCCGCAGCACCTCACCAGGGGAGGATCCATGAGGCATCCTAACCAAATGCCCGAGCCACCTCAGCTGGCTCCTCTAAGGGTGGAGAAGCACCAGTTCTACTCTGACTCCCTCCCGGATGACTGAGCTTCTCACCCTATCTCTCAAATCCAATTGGAGATGAAATACTTTATGTGTAAATGGTGATATGACAATGGAATTGTCAAAACAGACAGTGCAAATGTTTGGACACTCCTTGGCCCAACTTTTGCATGCCACAGTGTTGAACAGAAAAAAATATGATAGTGATGGTTTCTTGCAAGGTGACCACATGACATACGTGCCTTGCAAAATATTAAACACCTTTGGCCTTTCTCAAAATTTCTCATGTCACAACCACAAATTTCAGCATATATGATTGGGATGGGGGAAATTCAGTCTCTATGTGTGTAAAGCTGTTGGAGATAAACCTCCAAAGTCTGAAGGTGGTACCTACAGGGAATGGTGGCTGTGCAAATTATTAACTCAGGGGGGCTAAACACAAAATGCATGCCACCCTTTTCAATTTTTTTAATTGAAAAACAAATGAAAACATCCTTATATCATTCCCTTCTGTTTATCAGTTATTTAGTACTATGTGTTAATCTGTCACATGTACTTCTCATAAAATGCATTGCAATTTGTGGCTGTAACATGACAAAATGTGCAAAGTATAAGGAGTCTGAATACTTTTTCAAGGGAGTGTATATGGAGCTAAACACAAAAGATAAACAGTTTAAAAAGCAATTAGAGGGCACTAAGCAAATGCTCCCTCCCCCACAGGAGAAATCCATTAAATTCAAACTTAAACAAATTTCTTCTTTAGTGTACTGGCTCATGCCCATTATATAAACAGCATCTTCACTCTGTCGCAACACAATAAACATTTTTTTGTACACACTTCTCACTCTATAATAAATCAGTTCTGAACCCTAGCCAACCAAGCATGCACAAGCTAAAATTCCTCATGCAGAAAATGAAAAAAGGTTGGACACAACTTATTTTCCGTGCCATGTTTCTTGGTTCCCAAATGTGACACGCATTGCGTTTTCATGTATTCTGAAAACTGTTTGCCTAATGGGCAGCGGAATAAACTCAAGGACAAAAAATGGTCACATGTAAATTAAGTTTAATGAAATTACCTTAATTACAATGACACTGAAATACAAGAACAGTTTTAGCTTCGGTAAGGCTGAGCTTTTTCTGACATGCTGAATATATAATATATATATATATATTATGATTATAGATACATGGCTAGTAACATCTAGATGATGATTTTCTGCTATCAGTCATGAGGTGGGTGGAGGTTCACCTGGATACTGCATGGTAGATTTGGCTTCCACAAAATTCTGTGATTTAAGGAAAATCTTTCCCTTTGCTCAAATGAGATAGTTGACTCTGAAAACAACACCAACATAAAAGACCAATAAAACCTTCAAATCTATTTTAATAGCTTCCTCTGCCTTCTTGGATGTGAATGTGCTCTACTGTTCCGGCCATATTACAGGAAAGCAAGAATGTTTTCCACCTCTAAATAAACTTAAATTACATATTTATCAACACAGGATTATGGACTTTAAAAATAAAGAATAGTGCAAAAGGAATTGGTGTGAAACTAATTGTGATAAGAACCATAAACTCTCTGTGATAATAAGATGCCATATGGAATGAAAATTGCTTAAGTGATTGCTGGTAGAGCCTTTAAATTGTACTTTTAGAAATTATTAGTTCATGACTTTTGAGGTGAGGTTATGCTGAGAGGTTTAAGCAGTAACTACCTTAACTATAGTTTATGCCTCTTTTGGCATCTTAATTTAGTATGGTGCCAGATTAGTTAGGCTAAAATCCAAGCAGGAACAATATCAATACTGAGGCAGTAGATCACTATTTATATTTCTGTACAAAACACATGCTAAGACAGAACATATAATTCCTTTCTGGTCAAAATTACAATCAGTAAATTAGCTTTCTCTTGAGCATCTTTAAAATTTGTGTTTTTTAAACCACTTATCTCACATCAGAAAGTTTTGCTTTATATGTTCTGTTCTCATCTTTTACGTCACACCGGTCGCTGGTAGTGTACTCTTCCATAACTCCATAACCAATGCAAAGAATAACTGTTTTTTGTGAGAAAGAATTTCTAATGCCATGCATGCTTTGTGAGTTATGAGAGTTGTCCACTGCTGCTAAGATATTTGCATGCGTATTGCTTTTTAACGTCTGAAGAAATAATTCATAGGTAACTCTCAGATGCACAGTTGCTGAAAAACAAATCTGAAATATTAGGTTTAAATTATAAAACATACACCATCTCTGAACTCAGTTCATGCAACATGTTCACAGCAGTTCACAGAAAGAACAGTTCACAGCAGTTCTTTCTGTGAACTGCTGTAGGGGAGAGAAGGTAAAGTGGAATGCAAGCTTAAATCGAGCTGGCACGTCTTACAGGAGTGTGACTGAAGGGTATCTGCTTGTTCTGCCTCTATTACGGAATTATTACTATTACTTTTATCATTACTGGTTTACTGAATTAAGAAGTCACTGAAATATGAGAGGAGGATTTTTTTGCAGATTAAAAAGCTTGCATTTGACTAAATTTTCACTTTTTACAATTGAAATGATTGTCTTTTGTGGAAAAATATTTAGATTTATTTTTTGTTGTCTTGGCGTGTTGACCGTTTTTCTTTTCACCAAGAAAAATACTTTTTTCAAATATCTATCAGCAACAAAACTTTTTAGCTTCTTTCCACAAAAAACCCCTAAAAAAACTGTCTTTAAAATGTATATAGAGCACAGGTATGTGAATTTCAGTGGGTTAGTATGTTTTGTAGATAAACATACCATTTCTCCCAGATGTTCATGATGTCATTTGATGAGGTTTAGTCTTTTCTGACTATGTGACACTATTTAGTGTTGTAAATGTGAATAGACATTTTGTTGTTCTTTAGCTCATTCAGTGATACATGACCTTCATTTCATTCAGACACCTCCATTCAGAGAGAACAAGAAAAAGTAATTACCAGATTGTCGCTCTGACAACGCTGCGGCCGTTTCTTGCGCACAAAGTAACCCAGAACCTTATCCTTAAACACCTAAAAGAAGGCACAAAAAAAAAAACATGATTCACAAGACTTAATGACATTCAATATCTGTGAAAAGATTATTTCTGCAATCCCACTAAGATTGAAAAAGATGAACACTGCAGTTCTCAGCTGCTGCTGAAGAAATGTCACATTTAGCAAGTTGTGTTGACATTTCAGGTTGGTTTTTTGCAGCAAGGCTTAAAGCAACTGGATCTCATATTCTAAAAAAAATGTAGAAATCATGTGTTTATTGAGTGCAAATGTGATTCATTTGTCAGACGAATTCATATAATAAAACTGCTTTGATTTTTGTCTATATAGGTGTAGAAGGTGGCCTGTGAGGTTCCCTGAAGTCTACAAATAAAACATCTGACTAATGTTCAGTTGATATTTTTCAGATTTCATATTCTATTGAAATAATAACAGAATCCTTGGTTGTAGTGTTTTTGCGGTATGTGTTTTTAGCTGCATCTGTTATTGGATCTTTCTCTTCTTCCTTCTCATTTTTGCCAGTTAGATCAGATATTACATTGGTTATTTCTTCATTTGACTGCCTCATGAAGTTTCCACATTTGCATTAAAAGTTCAGCATATTTGTGACACTTGAGATATAGCCTTAAGAGGCAATAAGGAGCAAGAAGCAATTAAGACATTGCAGTTTTAATCTCAGCATATAAAAAGCTCAACTGTAATCACTAAAGGAAAAAAAAAAACTTTTTGCTGCCACAGTATTCTCATTTTATTTATTAATGCATTCATTTTGTTCATATAGCTTAGGGGTAAAAAGTTTATTTTACAAAACTTTGTGAAAGTTCAAGTCAAAGAAAAAGAATTATGCAATGTAGATTGAAGTCTAGGATTTTGCTTTAGAATGAACTTTATAATGCATTACGTAATAAGTTCCATAAATGCACTTTTGAAGTTTTATTCATTTGGGAAAGATATGATGATCCTGGTCTGTTTTCACATGCAGCAATCACTTCAGATATGGCTTTGGCTTTATTTCACCTTGAAATTATTTTACTATATATCAAGCTGATAGTCTTATACTCCATCCTCACAGTTTTGAAAACCATAAGCACCGAAGTTCACAGTGGCTCTTGTGTATCATGTTCTAAATTGTTAACACAAAACCTATTCTTCATGCTGTTGTATTTCTTCTCTCTTCTCCACTTCTCATATGGACAATTTCCTGCTGTCACATGTGCGAACAGCAGTTGCATGTTTTCCTTCAGTTCCCACTTTTTCAAGCATAAAGCTGGCTTTAGATAACAACTACAAGGTCTATAAACTGAAGAACTGAAGGTTTCACAATATGATTCTAGAAGGGAGCAACATATTCAGCAGATGACATAACATCAGAAATGAACAAAAAGCATTCAGTGCGTCAAAAGAGTATTCCCACTCTTTAAATGTTTAACCAATCAAAATCTGAACATGTATAAAGTATGCATTTATGTTCCCTGAAACCACTAAAAAGAATCTACTGAAGTCCAGTCAAATGTCCCCTTATTAATAAATAAACTTCATAATGTATGGCCAGTATCAATCCAGATGTTCTGTGACGGTTTTAGAGGTTTGCTTGAAGTCATCAATGAAAAGTCTGAAGAAAAATAATGAAGCTACATGAGAAGCTAAAAGAAGGTTTAGGTTATAAAAAAAAATCAGCCTAAGCTTTGAACATGTCAATGGTCTCAGAAGGGATAGATCAACAGTTCCGGTGGGAGAAACTGTTGACCACTATAAGTCGCGCTCTGAACAGACTTGGCCTTACTGCCAGAGTGGTAAGAAGAAAATTACTTTTTAGAAAGTAGTGAGAAGTTACATCTACAGCTTCTGTTACAGAGAATCAAAAATACAGAAGATGGTGATGTGGTCAGGTGAGCATTCTAAGAGATGAAAAACTGCAGAGCTCATCACACTGAACACATAATCCTAGAGAATGGTGTTGGCAGCATTATGCAAGGATGATGAGTTTCTTCATCAGGGACATATAATCTATTGAGATCTAAAGGGTAGATGTATGGAGCTAAATGCAGGACAATCAGGGAACCTCTTTAATAGAAAATTAGAGATACAATGGAATGGTTTAGAACACAGGATAGTCATGTCTTAGATTGACTGATTCAAAGTATAGACATACAGTCAATTGAGAACTTGTCATAAGGTTTAAAAAATGTATGTTAACAGATGATCCCCATATAATGCGACTAATATTGAGGTAATTTTATTAAGAAGACTGGGCAAAAGGTCCTGCTTCTATGTGAAAAGCTAATGCAGATATAGAAACTTTGTGTTGATATGTCACATAACATCCCATAAAACCTATTGAAGCGTTTAGTTGTAACAAGAAATGAGGTGGGACATTTTAATTACTGGTACATTTTCATTCACAAAGTTATTGTTTGGTGGGCTCCCTTCTTTTTTCCTGTCCTGTAAGGATTCTGAGGGACAGCCAATTGGTTGTAAGTATTTTGCAGATTAATGTACTGTTCAGGAGTCATAGATATGTAAACACTAAAACTTGTAATGCATACTTATGTTTTTCCTTGTGAAACTTTGTAGTGCAGCCAACCTTTGTGAGACTACCTTGTACATTCCAAAGGGATTCTCTAGGTAATATAAAGTCTACATAAAATAAAACAAAAATAATATTGCACTGAACCTTTGTTATGACAATAGTTCCAAAATACATATGAATAAGTAAAAAGGCCAAGTTTTTACCTCGTATAGGTAGTCGAATATTTCCAGTATTGTTAGAACACTGGCTCCAATGAAAAGCCCCATCTGACCTCCAATGTCACCTACAGAGGAAGAGATTAACAGACATAGGCAGGTACACTAATTGAACAATGGTGCATGAAGCCATTCCCATTGCTGTCACATCTAATTCCCTGTATCTCTGAACAATCTGAACAGAGTTGTCAAAAGTGTCCACGCAGGCCCAGTTTCTCATCAGAACCAGCCTGCTGTCCTTGGAAGAGCATCAGATTATGAAAATGTGTTCAGCCTATCTGCGAGTTCAAAGAGGAACCCTCAAAGCACCAGGCTCTGGTGCACAATGTGAACTTTGTGCCAGGGATCCGCTGAGTGTTGATACCAAAGTCATGCTGTTTTGTTTTTTTTTTCCTCTGAGAGAATAGGCAACTGTGAGAGTCTTACCGAGAAGCCCTGCAATTTCATAGGCCTTCTTCTGCTCAATTTTCTCATAGTTTAGGGCTTCAAAGAAGATGTCCAACACCAATATATTTTCTCTGTAGAGAGGACAGACAAGAGCATACCCAGCACATATTATATCCTGTGATATATAACATTACATCAGTTTATATCTCACATTTACCTGAGTAAGATTCTTTCATTATTGTTACATTGAAGGTGAACGATGGAGACTTGGCTCAAAATGCATCAGGAAAGAAAAGTAGCTGACTAAATACTTCACTGATACTACATAATACTTACCCAATATACTGCTCAGTTTTGTTGAATTTCTTAGCCAGATATTTAGCAGATGCCTTACTGGGGATCTTTACCATGGACAGCTCCTTGCCATAGCGAGTCATGTTGCAGGGGGTCTGACAGACACAGTAATCGTTGTCTTTCTCTACCAAAAAGTCTGTGGATGATCAAAGTCATTTAAAAATATTGCGATCTATTTGAAAACAAAGACAAAAAAAATCAAACAAACCTGCACACAGTGGCTCTCAGTTTGTGCTAAAAATACCACGGCATGTAACAGAAATATACTCGCTGCCATCGTTCACTTTCTATGAAAGCAAATAATGACTGAAGCCATATTACTGGAGAGAACAGGGAAGGGGGGTGAATAAAACTGGTGCGATTTATTTGAGCTCAGCGAAGCACAGTCACATCGCAAATCTTCATAATGGAATTTTTAAACAATAATTTTATTATTTTGCTTCAGCACTATCTGAGAGGAAAGTAATTTCTGAAGCAACATAAGTACTATCTTAAGCCTGGAATATGCTCATGGCAAACCTCCTGAGCTCTGGGTTTCACACATTGATCTAAAAAAAAAAAAAAACATACTCATGCTGAACACGATAAAATGTGCGGGCTTACCTAAAGCTGGGTCAGCACAGTCTTTATATTGCTCTGGTGTGCAAACTGTTGAAGTACCTATTTGGAATAATGTAAACGTGAAGCTCATTACTTATTTAAGCACCACAGGGGGAAAAATGATTTTCACAAGCCAGGCTAAGTCCCAATTCATACCGGGCATGTGAACCATTCTGCAGTTGCAGTTCTCCAGCAGGTACCGGGTTTCACAGTCAATGCGGCATGCGGTGATGCTGTACGTGGAGAAGAATTCTGAGTCTATCGGTGTGGACTTGCAGTCTCCCCAAGGTTGTGGGAGGTACTGAAGCTGAAAGAGCAAACAGCACATGTTTCCCCTCAGTACGTCGTCTCACAGGATTACACCAAACAACAAAAAAGAAACAGAAGCCCAGTGCACAGCCGAATAAGTACAAAAAAAAAAAGAGGACGAGCTCACAAAACCCAACACGCATACGTACACAGAAAACCCCCCCACAAAAAAACAGATGTCTTTAAATAAAAATGTGCTCTGAGACACAGGAGGTAAAAGATTGGCAGTCAGAACTGTATTATTGCTCATGTGTCGCAGCAGGCAGACATCATGCAGAACATTACTGATGCAGGTTTGGTTTCTGGCAGGGAACAGAGAACCATGGGATTAGAGACAGTCTTAGAAGTTGAAACTTGGATAGTTTTGACAGGACACCACAAACTATGGACAGATTTTGTATCCCTGACAGTAACTTAGTGTTTTTTTTTTCTTTTTAATTCCTAAAAACTCAAAAACATTTTTTTCCAAAGTCATAATGGAGTAATATGCGTCTTTTGAGGAGAGAGAGTAATTGAATACAATTTGGAGTAAGGCTGCATAATAACAAAACGTGCAGTGCTGGGAAAACTTTTATAGATGCACTATAAAATCACATTCAAATACTGAGTTGTTGATGCTATAGTGGGACAAAATGTGAAAAGGGTACTTCTGCTAGACTCTGTACATTTTTTAACCTAAGGAAAACTATAACAAAATAATAATAATTTTGTTCTTATGTATAATTCAGGCTTACAATTGCAGTGATTTGCTCCATTTATGTTTGGCTCAGTGTGTCTGTAGTCCATTCAGATCTTCTACTTCTATTGTACTGAAAAAAAAAAAAACTGACATCTAACTACCAACAAGATTTTCAGTTCCCTTTCAATGTTTTTTTTTTTTTTTTTTTTCCATTGGAGCTAATACCAATTTTATGGCAAAGCAATGCAACAAGAAAAAAAAACAAAAGTTTATGCATATATGTATATATAATCCAATTTGTTGTAGGACTTTGAATTTGCAGTAGCTTTTAATTGCAACATGGGGCCGACCGGCAATCAATGCCAAAAGCTTGTTTTTCCTGGCAAACGTCTCAGAAGAATTGTGTGCTATTGTCACATTAGGGTCAAGTGAAAGTCTCTACCGTATCCAGCAGCTCTAACCAGGCCAACTCCAACAATCAAAGGGTCATTTAGTCAATAGGGAGCGACGGAGATGAAGTGCAGTTCACTGATTGAGTGGAGCTAAACCTGCAAACATGATTAAGCTTTTATTGAACTCCCTTTCAAACCCACAGTCTTTCAGATGTAGACATGCACCAGATAGAACCCCCCCCCCCGGCGACCAATGTACTATTCTAGACCAGAAGGCAGAATCCTCACAGGGGGTAAAACCTAATGAATCACACTGTCTGATCCTTTCAGATGCTACAAGGCAGAGCTTCTATAATGCGCTCAATTGAGATATGCGAGCAAAAATAAAGACCTCACGTTGACAAAGCTGTACATGAAAAGGAAGGGGTACAACCGAACAACAAACTAAATTTTAAATTAGGATAGAGACTTGGATATGTAACTTAAAGGAATGACACACATTAACTTCTGAACAGAGAAGACAAAGATGAGGAGGATACACAGCAGAAACTGTTGCACGTAGTTGCTTCAGCCACACAGAAGGGTGAACAGGCGGGAGGCACATGAATCCATTCCTCGTAGGGAGGGTAAAACAGCGGATAAAAGAGTGTAACTTATCAGGTGTGGAGGAACCGAACGACATGGTATTTTGCAGCATGCAGCAAGCCTAGTCACACATACACTACCCTCTGCTCTTGAGTGGAAACGAATGTTTGGAAGCCGGGGGCGACCCCAAAGCCCAGCTCATGGAGGAAGGGAGGCTCTGACTGAGAATGAAGCTGCACCTTTATGCCGGCCTCATAGGATGTCTCGTCTAGGGTGAGGGGTGAGGGAACACAGCCCACATCATTATCGAAATCAAAAGGCAAGCAACACTGAGGTAAAGGGCAGAAAGGGATCAGTCGCATCAGGCAAATACCCTGTAAAAGTGAACGTCCCGAGCAAAAAACTCTGTAGGATCCATTGTAAAGTAATATTTTCAGTGGAGGTGTTTAAATGGAAAGCAGAGGAGGAAGAGACATGTGATAAGCTATTATCTAAATCTTTCAGATCATAGGAAAGTGGTTTGATGATATCCTTTAGAAGTTTCAACTTCTACATGTCATGCAACACGTTGGCGGGGTTAGCCCAAAATTATGATTGGTGTGATGCATTCAAACGATTGAATTAAACTCAGTCCCGTTTCACGATCGGGTTTTAAAACCCAACTCCTCTGAAAAAGGAATCACAAAAGAAAATATGGAAATCACGTCTCGTTTACCTTAACACTATAACATTGGCGGCATACTATACTCATAGCATAGGACACTTACTGATATAAATGTTTGCCAGACTTTAATGATAACCTAATTAACGCATCCATCTTTCAACACATAAACGCGTCGCTGCTTTGGCTGCTTGTGTCATGATTATTAATGACTAATCTATGCTCTTTTGCTTTCAGGATGAAACCCTGCGATGGTGATTAATATACCCGACTCGCTTCTTGATGACAGTTGAATGATGGTAAACTTTGAGCACTGATAACATTTAAAAGAAGAAAATGAGAGAGTCCCGTTTTTCACCTCCAAAACAATTCAATGCATAATCTTGTTGTGGTGTCCAAGTGCCAAAAACATACCTCAATCATCCCATGCTATTCTGCTCAAACAAGACAGATTTTACATTAACATTTGGTCCATGCTGATGAAGCAGCCAAGCTGATTAACTTTCGGAGCAAAATCATTCAAATCTGGCTTCATTAATTGCTAAGGAAATTAATTTGATTAACAGCTCAAGTATCCCTTTACTTCACTAAAACTGATTATGCGCTAGAAATTTTAATGAGCCAGCAGCAGAATGCAAAAATACAGTTGGTCATAAAGCGTAATTATTATAATCATTGCAAAATTTAAAGCTCTTTGTAGCACCACTGCAATTTTTACATAAGCTTTTTGTCTTTTCTGTCCCTGCGTCTGTCTGAAAACGAGATGATCATTGTTTGTTTTGTGTGTTTTCCTAGAAAAGAGGAAAAAAAAAGACACATGGGGAATCTGTACTACAGGCAACATCATATAAATGCTGTAGCGTTTCATTAGATTTGGATTGGAAATCCATGTGTTCTCACTGTTATGACTATCCATGACGGCCCGTTCGATCAATTCAGGCTCCAATATAGTTATTACTTTTCATCCTTCACTGACGGCGGTGGGGCCGGGGCTGTCGTGCAAATTTTCCGCAGTCAACAAACCCTGCCACAGGCATTTCTTCTCGTCATGAAATTGTGTCCTTAAATCAAAGTCTGTGCAAAATAGCTGTAGGTCATTGCTCTCATAAAAAAAGTACGCTTTTAGAGCCGGTGGAAGTGGAAAACTAGTTATCATAACAAGAAGTCTGCCAGGTTTTTTTTTTTTTTTACACCTTTCCCTCAAGAAGTTATCCAAGTATTTTCAGATTTTTGTTATTTTTAGCAGGAGATACTGTAAGATGATGCAAGACAATTTTTTTTTCTTTTTGAAACCTGCAAATAAAAGCACTTTCAAATAAAACATGCTGCGCATCACTTTGTAAATTCTGACAGGTTTCTCAGCGATCAAAAAGACACTTTCATATTTTTCCTCCTTGGCTAAAAATAGAGGACTTAGTCTGAGCAGCCATATAATTTTGCATGCTTTGCAGTCCTAAGTGGTTTTGGCTCAGTAAGGAACATTACACTCATATGCTTCCATCTAATCATTACTTGGCCCTGCTCTGTCAATAATTCTTGGCTGCTTTAAATCCCCAAGTTTCATTTAGTGAAAACCGCACCAACTCCACTTTCCGCAGAGAGGGTAGATCAACGATCTGATTTTGCTCCATGTACTGTCACACAACGATAATGGACACTAGCTGGCAAACATTTGGGGACAAACACTCAATGAGGCAGAGCGGGGGGAGGGGCAAAAAAAAAAAGAGGTTGGAGGCTGATTGTTAGGTACCAGTTGCTGCTGACATGACACAAAAGTTTGAAAACCAGGGGCTACACCGAATCCCAGCTGGTCAATGAAGGGTGGCTCGTCCTGGCTGTGGATCTGAACCTTGATGCCTGCTTCATACGATGTCTCATCTGTGGATACAGCACGGCAGAAAATATAACATTTACGGCCATCGAAGGGAAGCCGCTCTTTGGGTGCTTTTTTCCCCCCGGTTTCAGCACTCAGTGATTACCAGTTTTTGCAATAATAGTGTTTTAAAAACCTTCTGGGTGAAGCAATACCAATAAAACTGTTGGTGTGTTAGTTAATTTTAAATAGATTTACAACCAGTAATGTCCCTGCATATTCTAATAGAGATTTATTAGAGCACACTTTATTGAATCTACTCACAGTGGTGCACCTGGAGAAAAAAAAAAAAAAGGAAACAAATCATAAGAAAACAATACAAGGCTACAGATGGAATTTTCTCTTTTCAATTGTTCTTCTAAAATATTAATATCACTGCAACAGACCAACTGAAAAAATGTTGTTTTAGCATATTTTGCAGTGTGTTTGTATTTAGACCTCCTGAACTCTTTCAGGCTGTGCTTCTATCGGTGTTTCTCAGCTATGGATGGGGATTTTTGGCCATTCCTGTGTAAACGAACGGGCAATCTGACTATGTAAACTCAGTCAGAATAGCATCTACAAACAGCTTTTTTGAAGTCTTTCCACGTATTTTTAATTGGATTTAATTCTGAGCATTGACAGGGCCATTCTGACACATGAATATGCTTGAATTAAACCATTCCATTGAAGCTTTTTAGGTTTGTTGTCCCGCTTATGTCTTCAGCAGCTTCTTGCAGGTTTTTTTTTCTTAAGCATTGCTCTCTATGGGTCTGTTCTCTGTAGGTTTTGTTTAGTGGTATTTAAGTAAAGGGAGGTGATCATAAATGCAAGCCACACAGATTTTGCTATGTTAAAAAAAAATTTGAAAAATACAATTTCCCTTCTGCTTCAATTACATAAGATCCCAATTAAATACACAGAAGGTTGTGATTGTCACACCAGAATATGTGAATAAAAAATAAAAAATCAAAGGGCGGGAACATTTTTGCAAGGAATGGTAGATCCTCTATATGGAGAGGTTTCCGTAAATCTGTTAACCTGTTAGTATAAGTAAGAACAGTGTTTAAAGTTGCACTGACCTGTCTCTCCCCAAACAGGCAGGTATTCATCCTGCTGGATATCCAGCATGATTTCCAGGCCATTCCCTGTGCCTCCTTTCAATGTGGTCAGCAGAGGGTTGCCATCTAACCCTGAGTTGAAGGTGTAGCATTTCCCGTAGCGAGTGTAAATCTGTAAACAGAGAACACCAAAAAAATCCCCAAAAAGAGAATGAGTATGAGTAACAACCTCCCCACAGCACCACTGCAAGCTGTGCACCATGCAGTACAAGATGTATTACATGTCAGTGTGTAATTGTGCAGAAGAGGTAATCATTGCAGAGGTTTTCTGATTACCAGAGAAAGAAGCATTGGCTTTGAACAGGCACTGGTTTAGGAAATTAACAAACTCACCTCGGTGGCAGCAACAGCCATTTATTTTTACCCAATTTCACTCCAAAGAAAAGTGGTCCCCTGGGTGATTTATTGTAAATATAGTGTTTAAACATCATTGAATTAGAAACACAGACAGAAAAATCTATCCGACCACGGATGAAACCTCTATCTAGGATCGAAGCAATGCCAGAATAGTACAGCAGCTCTTAATATTTAATACAGAGTCACTGCTGGTATTTTTTTTTTTTTACACCAAAAGTCTTCCACATTCATAGAGCTTTTTCCTCAGAGTTTGTGGATGATTATGTTGTTTGAATAATACTTAAAAAAAACCCAACTTATTATCTTTAGAAATAATTAACATGATACTACTGATATGCTAAAAAGTTACATAAACAAATGACGCAGAAGTAGTGGAACTAACTTAAAGAAATGATGATCCAGTGTACAGGGAGCACTAGCCAAATAAAAAGGCAATTATTATCGACTTCCAAAGGTCACAATATTAACATCAGCAAATTGTTCAGCACAGAAAGATAACATTCTTTGGAGTATTGATCTCTGGGAACTTGAAACTGGCCCAGCAGAGACTGCACTGTTCCTAGGACCATCCTCAAAGCATTCTGCACTTCAGAATGGTACTCCATCTGCAATAGGCCAACACGAGCGCCCTGCACAGGACAGTGAGAGGAGCCGAGAGGATCCTTGCAGCGTCCTTACCCCTTTTGTCTGAGGTTTGATTCAGAGCTGCTGCAGGAACAGAGATCTCAACATTGTCACTAACTCCATAAACCCTCTTTGGGTACATAAAATCCAAAGCTGAACAAGCATACAGCAACGCCACTTTCCTTGTTAAATTTAATTGTGCTAAATTGGTGCTGCTGAGATTATGCACATCACATCAATACACCTATTTTATATTCCATCTATTTTATGTCTATCTAATTGTGGTTTATGTGTTTATAGTCTTCTAACACTAATCTGTCTGTTGAGTGATGATTTGAAACAATGAAACACTGTCTCGTTTTATACGCCATAATAAAATTACAACTAATTAACTTGACTGAAGCCGAGAAACGCCACAAACCCCGACTTTGAATCAGTTTTTAGACATAATCAAAGTGCAGAACTGGCTGGCAACACATATTACAAAATAGTAAGCATATACAGCATGCCACATTGCAACAAATAGCAATGTTTGTTGTGATGCCGTTGTAAGCTGTTGAGAGTTCACAGCAAATAAGCATACTGCAACAAGACAACTATGAAACAGCAGTCACTACAGTAGTTCTACACACACATTTGAATCTCATGAGCAAAAAACAAACAAACACTGGAGTCTAAAAACAAGTGATCTACTGAAACATTTAACACAAAATGCCTTTGCAGAAATGGGTTAATCATATCATAAATACATAAATATGATCACTGTTTTATGAGGTATATTTGTTCAGTAATTTAGTAACACACACTGGCCAATAACATGGTAGCAACTCAGTGCATTTATTCATGTGGTGAGAAAAAGTTGAGAAAGATTATTATTTACTATAAATAATATGAGCTGATGTCTTGTTAACAGATGTTTTAAGACCTCTGTCTTACTCAAAAGTAGGGGAATAAAACAATCGCTGTAGAAAGTTACAACAAAGTAGCAACATTGACTCCCATTTCCAGCTTATTAAATAATGAATTCCAGTGTGTTGACTAGAGCCATCCAAGTATTAGAAGAACTCACAACACCATAGAAAACTGTAGAATGCTCAGACAGTGGCTTTCAGCCATTCATGTATCTTTAGCACTTGTCTAAATCAACCTCACATCAGGAAAGACACAAACTCCAGCTCTTGGTAACTTTTCATCAGTTATCCTCTGTAGAGAGGCTGTGTTAAAGGGTCTGCTGGCGGAAACCCAGGCAGCTGGGCAAAGTTGATCTCCAGAGATCAGAGTCAGTGTTCCGTGTCCGACTCACACAGACTTTCGTGCAGCTCAGACAGATGCTGTTCGACAGAGCTCTAAGCCTTTTCCCACTGCAGGCCATATAATGAGGTCTGCTAAGTGACTCGAAACCATCTAACTGGTGAGTTTTAAAAATTTTACACAGCAATTTAAATAAAATACCAGGGCCAGGAAGTCACACTTCAGCTACGACAAGAGACGCTTCAGACACGAGCACAGCTTAAATACAAGATATGGCTGTGTTTGGCTATGAAGATGGATTTTTTTTCTTTTTTTAATACAGCAGACGTTCTGCACTGATATTGTAAAGTAACAGTGAAGCTGTTGCAGCCAATTGAGATCACTTGTATTTCAGATATCAAACTGGTTAAAGCTGTCACTGTCACCTGTTTTGGTTGTTAAGACGGGAACACTGATCAAGTTTCAGTCACTAAAAACAGAGTTTGACTGTGTAGCCTATTATGACCCTACAGAAATCTGAAAATTTATATGAGACCCTAAGCATAATTTGGAGCTGGAGACAAAACTGCACTAATAATATTCAAATTCAAACAGACGCACCTTGTTTCATGGTACATACAGCAGTACTCTTAACAATTTTGATGACATAAACATATTTTGATTTGCTCCTTCCACATTTTTCACTTCCCATTGTTTATAAAACATATGTGGAAGTAAATTTAATTCTAAGACCTGATCATCTGTTCTGGAGGGTTCTGTGTAATTGGTTGCACTCACAAGGGAACATGCTGGATTTGTTGCAGCTACAGTGTGCACCAAGTCTACAGTGAAGAAAGTTTTTCTTCTCTATTTTTTGCACCATGGTTTAAAATCACTGTCTCTGTACAATCTGTAAAACATTATTTTGCATGGAGTATAAAAAAGCGATATTGTGGGGATATTATCAGTACATTTACTGTAAATTATAAGTCGAGGGTGAAAGATTTGAAATTTGCTCTGCTTGTTTTTGTGAAGTAAAATTTCTTCCAGCTGTTTTCACTTCTTAGCCGCATTTTCTAAACAACACGTTGCTCCTCCATCAGATCAGTAGAACAACTCCTTCGAGCCAATCCACAGCTACATTTGGATTTTACGGTTGACAAAAAAGACAACAAAGTGTCTTTATTGGTAGTAATTAGTAAATTATGTATGCCAAATCTATCAACAGTAAAACATGTTGCTGCATTTAAAACTCTCCCAAGCTTAGTACTGGGGCTGTCAAAGACTGAAGAGTGGACAGGGAAGCAGGACTAGTTAAAGCCTGAAAAACAGCAACATTAATACTTTAGATCAGGGGTGCCCAAGTCCAGTCCTCGAGAGCTACCATCCTGCAACTTTCAGATGCATCCCTGCTTCAACGCACCTGAATCAAATGAATGGCTCGTTACCAGGCCTCTGTAGAGCTGATCCCAGTCTGTTGGAGTAAGGATACTTCTAAAAGTTGCAGGATGGTAACTCTCGAGGACTGGACTTGGGCACCCCTGCTTTAGATTGTTGTCCTACTGCATTACCCAACTGCCTTTTAGCTTAAGGTTGCAATGGCCCAACAACCTCGAAAGAGCTGAATTGATGTTTCCATCAATTACAAGTCATCCAGATCATTAAGCAGCAAAGCAGATCCAGACCATCACGTTACCACTATGACCGACTTCCTTCGGGATCATCAAAGAATTTTTGGTTCAATGTGAGATGGAATTTTTTTCTCCAAAAGTAGGTTTGGTACTCTACCATTTATGTCATTTTTACCCCAGTCACTTTCTTATTGTTGAGGCATGAATGATGGCCTGAATGGCAGAAAAAGAGGCTTACTGTGCTTAAAATAAGTTATGAGGGTCTCTCTCTTCTGGGAAAGCTCCCCACTGCTCAGTGTTTTCTAGATTTGTGGAATGACTCTCACTGTGGTTCTCTGGCGCACCAAAGACGTAGAAATAATGATGTATTGCACTGAGACATATTTCATCCCTATTTATCTGGTCAGACAGGCTCTATGTAAGTGAATTTCCTGATGTGACAGGTCTTGCAGTAATTAGATCAGGCTGCTGAAATTGCACACAGTTTTCCAAAAAGGCTTGCTAATTAGAGTTTATTTATTATTTAAATGGACCTTAACAAGTCTAGTTTGCAAAGCTTTATTTCCCCCTAATAACTGAAATTACCAGAGGAAAATTGCTTTCTGTATTTATTGATGCCGTCTTTATCTGGAAATAAAAATGTTTGATGATCTGAAACAACGCAAAATCAAAATAATTTTGAAAGAGGAATATCCTTTTTTTTTACATCAACAATGTTTATTTAAGATGAAGTGCAAGCTAAAAAAAGTTTCGTTTTTAGACTAAGAAAGAAACAACTCAAATAAAAAGGCTTAGAATATTCTAAATTGCACAGAAACAATTCAATACCACGGGGCTGTCTCTCGTTTGTTAATTTTATAAAATTCTAAATTAATTCACATTTTCAAAGAATTTTAAAAGTTAATTTTAAGTACTCTTGATAAAGATAACCATTTAAAATCTGCAGTCATAAGTCAAGCTGCTGCTGAAGCCCTGGAGGAACTTAAGCAGCATTTTAGTTCATTTATACCTTAGAATCCAGATCATCAAAAATGTATGTTTGCATTAGTTATATGACTCTGTGCCTTTTCCTCATACCATATAGATATTTAATTTTAGAAACATGTTTTATAAAAATTTTTGTATGATCCCTGATTTATTGACATTCATACGTTCCAAATTTTCAGTGACCACGGTTACATAAAACATGTTTAAAAAATTGACATCCTACATGGAGACGATGACTGTGGGCTACTGTACTTGTTTTCTTAAGAGGCTTTTCTTGAATGAG